GGTGTCATTTTCTTTGCCCTACTGGTTCCTTCAAGCTGCTACTCTGCTTCCCCCACCCCACCCCAAGGAGCTACTGAGTGCTGAAAGCACAGATTCTGCAAGGATAGGTTAGCTTCAGCTGCTCCAGAGAAGGAGCCAAGGAGTTTCAAAGCCCGAGATGACAAAGAGGGAAACGATGCGGTCAGAAAGTGACATTTAGAAGAAAACAATGCCAACAGCAGATCAAGGGTTAACAAGCCTGATAGTACAAAAACAGACAAGGAACTGGATTTGGCTATCTGTGAAATAACATGGCTTTTACATCTTTAAATGATTGAAAAAAAAATTGAAGGAAGAACAATGTTTCATAATGTGATGATTTCATGAAGATTGAATTTCAACATCTAAAGGTAAAACTTCATTGGAATGCAGGGCTGGGGGCGTGGTCAGTGGTGGAGCACTTGCCTGGCCTGTCTGAGGGCCTGGGTTCCATCACCGGATCCACAAAACCGAATGAATGAACAACACAGCTCCCCTTAGGTGTTTATATATCAATGATGGCTGCTTTGGTGCTGCCAAGGCAGAGCTGAGTAGTTGAGACACAAGCCTCGTGGTCCATAAAGTCTGAAGTATTTACTATGTCATCCTTTACAAAAGTTTTCCAACCTCTGCCCAAATCGAACAAAATCCTTGCATCCTTAGGAATGCTAAGCTTGACACCTTGGCTAAAATGGTTGCCAGCAGGAAGAACACTGGATAGGGTTACCAAAAGCTCCCGCAGGATCTACAGATCTAAGAGAGATGGGGTGGGAGGACAGAGCTGAGCAAGCATCAGAGTGACATCCAAAAAGAAAGGTCTAGGTCTCTGCCTCTCAGGCCTCAAGCAGATTCATGTTCCATGATGTCTTGATATTTGAAAATTGAAGCCCACCGAAAACAAGCATCAGAGAAGTGCACTCTTCCCCATGTCATTCCCAAGGATGCAATAAGCCAGTTTTTGTTGGGATGCCTAGTATTTGGGAGATGAGACATAGCACCCTCCCTCTTCCCAGTTATAGGACCCCACCACATGTATCACCTGATGGGTTCTTAGTCACAAAACTGGTGTTTCCTGGGAGAGAATTTCTCCCTCCTGCTGGACTTTAGGTCACTTATTAATATCAAGCTTCATTCCAAAATGGCTTGAGGTCATTCAATCATTATTTGGAAAAGCGATCTTTCAGAGAACCAGCACAAATGTTGGGGCTGGTCTTACCTCCTTACTGTGACTAGAAAGAAAGGGAAGTTGATGTGGCTGCTCCCCATACACATTTTATTGAGTTGTTGGCCACCATCAGTGAGATACTGAGAAGTCCCGTGGCAGAGCCAGGGAAATGCCCAGGAAGGCTTCCCAGCTCAGGGTGCAGCCTCCTCCCCAAGCACTTCCCCTCCTCCTGCAGTGGACACCTGGGACACACCTCCATACAGTACTATCATCAAAAGAAGGTTGGGGTTGTGGCTCAGGGGTAGAGCACTTGCCTACCATGTGTGAGGTACTAGGTTCGAGTCTCAGCACTTCACATACATAAATAAAATAAAAGTCCACTGACAACTAAAAACATATTTAAAAAAGAATGTTGGTGTGCAAAGATTTGGGGGGAAAAGAAGATATTCACTGAAGTACTGTTTTGGAATGGCAAAAAGTAGAAATCAAAGAAATACAAATCATGTATTTTCCAATAATTAGGAAATTAGTCAAGTATTCCTAATAATGTCATGTAACAATATATTTATAATTAACTATTGAATAAATATATATATATATATATATGTCATTAGCTATTCAAGGCACTTTGTAGGAGAATACAGACGCTTGTGACAAAGGGTAAAGTAGAAAATGAGCAGAACACAAAGCATTACACACAGTACAATCTTAGTTTTGTGAAAGGAAAACATTTGTGTTTAGACAAAGAATTCAAAAGTCACAGTAAACATGAAATAATAATAACAATAACTTCAGATTTACTAAATGCCTACTAGGAACCAGGCACTGATCTAAATTCTTCATAGACAATCACCACTTAATCATCACAACCACTCTGTGAAGGTAACCCTGTTGGTATCCACATTCACAGGAGGAAACAGAAGTAAAGACACCCCAGGGACTCGCCCGAGGTTCCACAGTCGAGAAGCCAGGATTTGTAGCCAGGTTGCTCCAGATCCCAGGCTTCGATCCACTACATTTCCAAATTAGTTACAGCAATTACATCTAATGATATCTGGGAAAATGAGTGGTTTTTGTTTATATGGTTACGTTTTTTTAAATTTCCTACAACTTACATCGTTACTTTTAGAATTAAAAATGTGCTATATAAAATAAAGACGATAGTTGAATGCTCTGCTATTCAAGTTCATTCTGTCCTTCCTCAACAGCGGTGGAGACCTCCTTCCTGGAGCGTGACTCATCGGAGCTCACAGTTATACAACAGTTTCTCAGCCAGGGCTGGGAGAGGCAGCCAAACACTGCCCATCAGCCCTCCATCAGCCTTTGGGGCTCTGCATCTCCAAGCAGGCTCAGGGCTAGCCAGGAATATCCTTCTGTACTTGACTCACACTAAGACCTGAGAGCTAGCTTCACTAAGGTGGTATCTCACTTGGCTCTAATGTAAATATTCAAGATAATCCAGCAGGTCAAAGACAGGAAACCATGGCAGAGGACTCTTGGCAATTATTGCAGTTTGGAGGACATGGACCTTCCTCAGCAGGCCCCCTGGGCCTCCACAAAGACTCTTCCATAGAACACTACCTTTCCTCTTTCCAGAAAGTCTTTGTCACCCAGTTCTAGTAGCTCTTGTTATTCTCAGGACCAGCCTGCTTGAGGAATGGCGGATAAACTGAATGTTGGCATTAAGATCTAGTAGTGTTCAAATTCCTTTTCACCAGTGACTTTTCCTTTTTGGGTTTAGTTTTCCCACTTGTTCTTCCAGTTTTCCCTTCTTGGCTTCACCAGGTTTGCCACTTTTGGGCCGGTTTTTTTGAAACTTAAGTTGCTTTTGCGGGGGGGCCCCTTTGGTTTTTGCCTTGGGAAATTGCCATTGCTACCGGACACAGTGTTGCACACCTGTAATCCCAGCGGTTCAGGAAACTGAGGAAGGAGGATCGTCACTGCAAAGCCAGCCTCAGCAAAAGTGAGGTGCTAAGCAACCCACTGAGACCCTGTCTCTAATAAAAATACAAAAAATAGGGCAAGTATGTGGCTCAGAGGTTCAGTACCTCTGAGTTCATCCCTTGTACCCCCCACCCCCCCTAATAAACTGTGTGATCTTGAAGTTATCATTATACTCCTCTGGGCTCTAGGCCTCTTCCTTACACCACCCCCATAAACTGAAACTATTAAGAAAAACTTTGCTACATGCTTCATATCATCAACAGGATCAAATGAGACCATGCACAATATGATTTGTAAGTAATAAGATGTTTTCAAATTATTAAGAATTTTAATTTTAATTCTTAGAAATTCAGCTCTCATGGTAAATTAGTCCATAGCTTGCCTAACCTCAGGTTGACCAGGAGTTCAACTAGAATAAAAATTTCACAAAGAATCAATTAAGCCAAAATGATTTTGGGGACACTTTCTATGCCAAACAAGAGGTTAAACATTTGTTTTAGTCAGCTTTTTCACCGCCTGGACTAAAGGATCTGATCAGACCAAGTTTAAAGGAGGAACAGTCTATTTGAAGGCTCACAGTTTCAGAGGTCTTAGTCCACAGAAGACTGGCTCCACTCCTCAGGGCTCCAGGGGAGGCTGAACATCATGGCGGGGGAGTGTGGCAGAGAGAAGCAGCTCACATGATGATTAAGAAGAAGAGAGAGAGGAGACTCTACTCTCCAGATACAAAGTGTACCCTATAGCCATGCCCTAATGAACCACTTTCTCCAGCCACCCCCCACCTGCCTCCAGTTACCACTCAGTTAATCCCCTCAGGGATTAATCCACTGATTAGGTTAAGGCGAGAACCCAATCATTTCTCCTCCAAACCTTCTTGCATTGTCTTCCATGTGAGCTTTTGGGGGACACCACATCTAAACCACAATGACATTAAACAAAGTCATCACTGTTAACATGGGCTTTACATCAGCCAGAACTGGTCTGGATCCCACTACTGCTACTAGCTGGATGTACAGTGTGGAGAAGGTAAGTAACTTGTCCAAATCTAGATGTCCTTATCTGTAGAATGAAAACACTGATACAATATCGCAAAGAATTGTAGGGAGGATCTATAAGAGACAGTTCTGTTAACACTCAGCATAATGTCTGACATACTGTGAGCAATTAACAAAAAAACAGGTAACTGGGGGTATGGAAAAGACAAAGCAATGAAAATGCTGCTTGCAGCAAAGTCAAGTAGCCTCAGCCCAAAGGTTAAGGCCTACTGAAGGGTTAAGACAGATCAGAGATGAATACAAGGGAGGAATCTCTTCCTGGAGCTTCCAGCCACAGCACAATGAAACCTTGCACTCGGGGAGTTCAGAACCAGGAATGTTGAACACAAGTGGATCTTTCTACAGCTCTCAGATTGCCCCTTTCCATCCTGAAGTGATCTGGTGGATGGTGTGGGGACCTATCATGAGCTTTCAGCAGAACTTATCTTCAGGTTCTCATAGATTCAGTGGTGCTCGTTCTTGAAATACTGCAATACTTCTGGACTATCTGGCATATAAGAGAGCTATTAAAATGACAAGTCACATTGCACAGCAGCAGCCCTGGACAGGTCTGGCAACTGCTCAACAGACCAAAGGGGCAGTAGTCGGGGCTTGTGCAGCATCCACCAGCAGCTGCAGAGAAGCCTGGTACTGGCAGGCAGAGGCCTAGGGCAGCTGGGGCCAATGATTCAGGATTTTTGGGTCCAGGCCACGTAGGAAGCACAGGCAGCCAAGTGTACCATATCTCTTACAAGCCAACAGCAGGCCCAGCCCTCCATGGTCTAAAACGAGGTGCCAAGGTCTTTACAGTGACTGGGATGGTTAATCTTGATCATCAAATCAATTCGAAACACCTAGAATTAAAAGATTTCTGAATGGGTCTATGTTTCCAAAGTATTTCCAGAGATGATTGGGATGCAGGATGTCAACATGACAATGGAGCCCTTCCCTGAACATGGGGGCGCTGTCCAATAGACTGGGGACTGGTTGGAACAAAAGACAGAGGAAGGAAACCGTGAGGGATGCAAGCTCCACTCTTGGGCAGGTGCATCTATTGCTGCCTCCACGGTCCATGGTCATGGACCACCTTCAGCCTTCCAACATGGACTCTCACCAGTGACCCTCCAGGGAGTTTCTAGGCCTTCAGTCTCGGATGGGGGCTGCATCATGCTCCCTTTTGTTCGAGGCTCCAGCTTCCTGAACTGAGCGGTTACTGGTTTCTCTAGCTCTCCAGCCTGCAGAGGGCCGTTGTGGGGCTACCCACCTTCTAATCATGTTAGCCAATTTAATAAACCCCTTTAATAATCACACATATACTTACCCTGTTGCTCTGTTCCTCTAAAGAACCTTGACTAATACGATAATCAATTTAATAGGGAAGTTGATGCAAGGATCTGCTACCATTTCCTACACCAAACAGTGGAGGTCATTTAGCTAGTGAAAAGAAACCTTCCAAAATTAGCAAAAAACTTGGAAATTAGAGTGATATATAACTTGTGTTGTAAGTTATCATCTGGTAAATAATTTTAATATATGCATATGCATATACTTTTGTTTATAATAAAAGGAATATTTCATGTCATGTATATTATCATACCAGTTGCAATTTTTTTAATTATCATTGCAGATTCCATAATATCAGCATGTACACCATTTCTGCACTCGTTTTTCAGGTCTTTGCTGGAATAACACCTGATTATGGGTCTGTATCCCCAGACGTTTCTCATGCTATGTAGCCACAGGAGAATGACATAATCAGGGACTTAAAAAAATACAAAAATTTGGGAATGAATTAGATGATTCCCTAAGTTCCCTCCAGTTCTAAGTTTCTTTGACACTATGATCACTATATAAAGGCCTTCTATTAAACAAATATTCTAGACTAGGCACACGGCTAAGTAGTTTCCATAAACGACTAACCTGGACCCTCGTGCTATGCCCAGCAGCAGGTGAGAATCTCACTAAGGAAAGCTGAGCCTTGGTTAACTTTAGTAATGGTAATGACCAAATGAGAATGAATTCAGGGTTTACTGGTTGCAAGGCCTCTGCTCGTTTCCACCTCTCAATCCTGCCTTCTTTCATGAGGGACTTTTGTCTCCATGCTCCCACTCTCCTACCTTACTCTGTACCTCCACCCTAAGATTCAGAGCAGTCTGATCAATATTAAAATGACTTGCGAATGGATCAGTTCCCCCTCAACCTCACTGATCCTGGATCCCTTGAATAACAGGGAACATGTTTCCAGCTGTGTCCTAACCCCAAAGGCCTTAATACTGTTCCGAGAACACAGTAAGCACTCAATAAATGTATGTGTAACTGGACTATTATACAAAGCAGAACCCAGAGAGAGGATGGCAGAGATGGAATGGAGGACTGAGCACATGGAGTTTGGCAGAGACTTGGCCTTTGCTTAACCGTAAGCAGATGCTTTCACTATTTCTTACACTTTGAATTTCTGATATCAGCAGTGATTCTTCCAGAACCTATTGAGCCTGCTCACCAAAGAGATAAAAAGAAGATCCATGATTTTTCCATTTCATCAGCCAGAGTCAGGTACATAGAGTCATAGAAGTGAACATCCTCCTTCAACCATGAAAGGAAGCAGCTCAGATTTGTCACAGCCTAATATATGATGGGATATTGGCAATGTCCTCTGTGTCTCAAAAGACACACCAGGAAGACGAAATGATTCCCCAGATCATTCCTATAATTAATTTTTAAAAAATTGATATTTAAAATTAATATGAAATCAACTACATATCTCAAATGTAAATATTTAATAAATGTTGACAAACATATGTGTATCACACATGCACATACATTATTAATTCTTGCAGTATATATGAGTCTGCTGTGAGGCAGCATCCCATCTGTACCCAAGACAGTGAAAAGACAGAGTACAACACAGCACTGTAGCAATTACACATGCATACACCAGGCTCAAAGGGATCTCACACCAAGAACCAAATCAGAAGACAGTCCTCTATTTCTCATTAAATGTAACATACCTAGACCTCCTGGAGAGTAGGGATCCTCTCATCATCCCTCACAAAGCAAGGATGACTTTGAACACAAAACAGCTTCTATCAATATTTCAAATGTGACCCTTCATCTGGGATCCTTACCTAAAATATGAATTCCTGATTTCCACTTCTGCCTATGATACAGTAAATAGAATTGGATTTGACCTCCTGTGATAAACTGGATAAGTTATATGAAATATCTGTTTTAGACCAAAAGGACTGGGGCTTTTGAAAGAAGGGAAACACACAGAGGAGTTCACAGCAGCCCAACTCTCTGCCTGCTACATAAAGGGAGTTAGGGCCTAAGCAGAACAGTGGTCTTGCTGAGCTGCAGAGCCAGGGATTAAAGATACAAAAGCTGCTGAGAAGCTGGGCTGTGTGAGGCTATATAAAAAAAATAAATAAATAAAGAGTAGAACAGTGTGGGAGATGGAGGTGGGGAGGAAAGGGGGAAGGAAGCAGAAGTCTGCAAGGAAAGTCACCTTGTCCTTGGCTGAGGTCTAGGCTGTGAATATACAAAGTGAGACTTCATAAGGCCCAGGAGAGACTGCCTGCTGGAGGGCTGAGAACCAAATCAGCACTGTAGAACAAAGGTACACAGCTGTATTCCAGAATTTCCACATCAGAAAGACCACATCCACACTAGGAATAAGGATGGCAGCCTAAGGTAAAGGCCTTATGCCGGCACTAAGTTTAAAACCACAACAGGCCCACTTTAACAAAGAATGAAACAATCCTGACAGGAGCAGAGGATGTGCCCGTAACTTAACTGTCTTCCAGAATAAAATTCAATGAGCTTTAAAAGGAAAATGTCAATCCAGACTTCTTACAAAAGTATCACCACAATGTCTCTCATACAATTTAAAAAATTAAAAAGGAAAAAAAAACTGGAGAAGTAAAGACACAGGGGAAATTGACAAATAGAAAAGATCAATAGAAATAAAATGGCCCAGATATTGAAATTAGCAGACATGAACTTTACAGCTCCAAAATATCTTCCAAGACGCAAAGAAAAAGTAGTCTCAGTGAGTTAACAACAAAGACTGTAAAGAAAAAAAAATATCAAGAATTAAAAAGTATATCATTTGAAATGAAATTTTGCTAACTGATCTTAAGAGATTAGAAGCTGCAAAAGAAAATGTTAGTAAACTTGGAAATAGAGCCATCAAAAATTTCTAACCTAAACAACAGAGAAAAAAAATTGAAAAATAGAATCTCAGTAACCTGTGAGACATCAAGTTGTATCAAGTAAGTAAAGCACAAGAAGGAAAGGAGAAGAAAAGGGACGGAACAAAATATTTTGTTCTAAAATTTGTCAGGACTGAAGGTGTAGCTCCATGGTAGAGTGCTTATCTAGCATGTATGAGGTGGGTTCAATCCCTAGGACTGCAAAATAACATAAAATAAGATAAGGTTTTCCAAACCGCAGTACTTGGCACTAGAGACATTGTGGGCTGATGATTATTTGTTGTGGGGGCTGTCATGGAGGTTGTTGAATTTTTAGCAGCATGAGTGACCTCTAGTAACTATATTGTAATAGTATCTTCCCCAACCCGGCAGGAGACAGGCAAAAATATCTCCAGATATTGCCAAATAATTCTTAGAAGAACTAAACTGTCCCTAGTTAAGAACCACTGTGATAGATACAAGTAACTCAGCAAACCCTGAGGAAGATAAATACACAAAGAACCACCTTAGGGAATCTTAGTAGCAGATAGAAAAAAAAGACACATTATATGCCAAGGAACAACAATGTGAATGATGGCTGAACTTATCAGAGGCAGCTAAGGTCAAAAAGCAATACAAAGAGATGTTTAGAGTGCTGACAGAAAAAAAAAGGAAATCCCTTAAATAAACAAAAATGAGAGAATTTGTTAGCAGCTGGCCTGCACTACAAGAAATGCTTAAGTTCTTTTGGCATAAGGAAAATGTTTCCAGATGGAGACTTCAATATACAGGAAAGAATGGA